GGGGTGTTGGGGGGGGCGGCAAGCGGGTTGGGGAGGCCTGGGGGTGGAGGCAGCGGAGTGAGGGCATGGAGAGCTCACTCAAAGAAGAGCCAAGTCCCAGCACTCTCCCTTCTGTGCTCAGGCTCTTGGCACCACATCCAGAACCTGGACAGCTTCTTCACCAAGATATCCTTTGTGCTGGGCCTGGCGGCGGTGGCATGGGAGGGCCTCTTGGGGCTGGTGCCATTCTTGGCAGGGGGACTCTGAGGGTTCAGTAGGTTGAGGGACTTGTTGGGGCAGTGATGCGGAGGCGTACTCAGGAAAGGCCCATCATGCCTCAGGCTTATTTCTTGACACACTTGCTACATCTACAGCTATCACCAGAGGAATGGCTTTGCCTGTATCCTGCTGGAGGATGTCTTCCAGCTGGGGTGAGACGCTTGTCCCCGTGCCTCTGGTCCAGCCAGTGCATCCCAAGCAGCCCAGGGCCCAGCCGTGTGGGCAGGAAGACTCACACTGCCCTGGAGGCTGGGCAAAGGCCCACCCAGACCTCAGGCCTGATCATTGCATCCCCTGCTGTTCCAGACAATTTGTTTTCATCGTCACCTTCACGACCTTCCTCCTTCGCTGCGTGGATTACAACATTCTCTTTGCCAACCAACCAAATAACCGGACAAGACCTGGGCTGCCTCACAGCAAAGTGACCTTGTCGGATGCCATCCTGCCTTCATCCCAGTGTGCCCAGCAGTGAGTGACAACCACTGGGGGGAGTGGGTGGGGGAGAGAGCAGACAAGACCACCCCCCCCTCACTTTGTCCCTCAGGCTAGATCATCAGTTCTCCAAAGTTTGTGTCTCAGGACACCTTTTATATACTTAAAACTGATTGAGAACCCCAAGAGCTTTTGTTTATGAGACTCATATCTATATTTACCTTATTAAAGAGTAAAGCTGAGAACAGCTTTAAAACCTAACAATGCATAAGCACACATTCCATTGATTGTCAATGTAATGTCACGTGGCCTCTGGAAAACTCCCCTGTACAGTGTGAGAGAATGAGAATGAAAATTGTAGAAAATATTACTATTATCTGAAAAAAGTTTTGACCTTGCAGACATTTGCAAGGGCCTCGAGGACCCCCTGGACCCATCCTTTGAGAACCAATGGTCTTGCTAGATCCCCTCCATGACCTTTTCACTGCTCTCCAAGTCTCATCACCCCCCTTTTCGTTTTTTTTTTTTAAAGATTTTATTGGGGAATTGGGGGAGGGGAACAGTGTTGGGGAATTGGGGAAGGGGAACAGCCAAGTTGTTGTCCTTCAATCTTAGTTGTGGAGGGCGCAGCTAGCTCATCTCCAAGTCCAGTTGCCCGTCGGCAGCTCACAGCCGCTCAGCTGAAGGTGCCATGTTCAGTCTTACTTGTGGGTGGGCGCAGCCCACCATCCCATGTGGGAGTCGAACCAGCAACCTTGTTGTTAGGAGTACGCGCTCTCACCAGCTGAGCCATCCTGCCACCTGTTGGCAGCTCAGCAGCAGCTCAGCTCGGGGCACAGCTCACTGGCCCCGTGGGGGAATCAAACCAGCGATCCTCTTGCTCAGAACTTGCGCTTTTAACCAACTAAGCCACTTGGCCAGCTAAACCCCCCCCCCCCAACTAGCTACTTTAAAAAAGCAACCCTGAGGAGACACCTGTGGATTTAAAATGTAAGCAATGGAGAGTGATTCGACTGATTAGGCTGTAGACTCCGTTTCTGTGGCTGTTCCACTTTCCTGTGCTGTATCCCCCCCCCCCAGGATCCACTCCAGCCCCCTCCTGGTGTTCCTTCTGACCCTGGCTGCCGCCTTCTGGCTGGTCCAGCTGCTTCGCTCCGTCTGCAACCTCTTCAGCTACTGGGACATCCAGGTGTTTTACAGGGAGGCCCTGCACATCCCCCCGGTGAGCGGGGTGGGCATGTTTGTGTGGAGGGGTGCCATGTCAGGGGAGCAGAGGACAGGGGAAGAGGGGGGGCTGTACAGACAGAGGGGCCCACTGAAAAGCAGGCAGGAGTCCTCATTGACACCTACCCTAGACCCCAAATAACATTAGCAGGTGGGGTACCTCCGTTTATAAAACACGGTCCTCACCCTAGTGGAGCTTAGTTGATGTAGATGGTTTATAGGAGATTACTTACAGTCACATGCTTGTGGTATTTAGAGGAGGAGGGGTGGTCATCTGGCTTTACAGAACACGAGGAACTGGGGTGGGGCTGGAAGGACAGGAGGTGGGGAGGCAGTCCAGGCCCCTATGCTGGAAGCGGGGAGGCAGCGAGCATCTGTGGGCAGCACTGAGATCCACCCACCAGCCTGCACCTGAGTGTTCAGGCTCTGTCGGGTGAGGCCACTTTCCTTTCTGGCCTCACCCCCTATTGCAGTCACCCACTGCGCGGGCCCCTTCACGGTCCCTCCCTGGTCCCGCTTTGCCCTTTCATCCCTTCTGTCATGCTCACACTCCTTCTCGCTCTGTAGCTCATTCTTCCTTTAAGGCGCTGCTCAAAGATTGCCTTCTGCAGCCGGCTTCCCTTGCTTCTCTCAGAAGTCTAGAAACTTCTGCATGGCCTCCTGCACAGCCAAGGGGAGGTTCTAGAAAGCCCTCTTGAGTAGGGGGACACTAGGCACAGTGCAGGGAGGACCAGGAGGGCCAGGGCAGAAGCAGGGGTGAGCAGGGGCTAGACCGCTGGTCCTCCAGCAGGCTGCTCACCCATCCCTTTCTCCTTCTCCCTTCTTTTCCCTCCTTCCCTGTTACTTCCAGGGGAAAGGGAGACCCTGGGATGGACTGGAGAGGCTGGCCTGCAGGGACTTGACTAAGCTGGACTGGGGCAGCTGGGTGACACTGGGCTAAAATGAGGTTTGCAGAGGAGACCAAGAGAGATCTGCACCCCACATGAGGACACAGCCAGTGTCTTGGGACGGTTACTGTGGTGATGGAGTGAGTGGGCTGGGGCTCTCAGCATGCGGAGACAAGAAGCCGAGGCCTTCGGATCAGTGTATTCAGTGTGCTGGGTTGGGGAGGAGAGCGCAGGAAAACCTGCTCTTAAGGAGCTGAGATCAAATACCTGAAGAGATTCACTGATGAGGTGTCTTTGGGGAGCATATGACTCATGGCCTCAAGAGTGGCAGGGTCATGAGGAACACTCAGGAGAGGATGCGAGGAAGTAGGAAGTATCCCTGGTGAGTGACCCAGTTAGGGGAGGGCAGAAATCGGAACGTGCCAGGTTTCCCACCTGAGGGACGCTGGTGAGGACCGTGGGGAGGAGGCGCTGAGGGGTGTAGCTCTGGTCATGGTGAGTTTGGGCATCACCATGCAAAGGAATCCAGGTCGCTGGCCCTCACCTGTGCCCCCTGTCCTCAGGAGGAGCTCAGCTCGGTGCCCTGGGCTGAGGTGCAGTCGCGCCTCCTGGCGCTGCAGAGGAGCGGGGGGCTGTGCGTGCAGCCGCGGCCGCTGACGGAGCTGGACGTCCACCACCGCATCCTGCGCTACACCAACTACCAGGTGGCGCTGGCCAACAAGGGTCTGCTGCCGGCCCGTTGCGCACTGCCCTGGGGAGGCAGTGCGGCCTTCCTCAGCCGCGGCCTGGCGCTCAACGTCGACCTGCTCCTCTTCCGCGGTCCCTTCTCGCTCTTCCGCGGGGGCTGGGAACTGCCCGACGCCTACAAGCGCAGTGACCAGAGGAGCGCCCTGGCTGCGCGCTGGCGGCTCACGGTGCTGTTGCTGGCCGCCGTGAACCTGGCGCTGAGCCCGCTGGTGCTGGCCTGGCAGGTGCTGTATGCCTTCTACAGCCACGTGGAGCTGCTGCGGCGAGAGCCGGGCGCGCTGGGGGCGCGCCGCTGGTCCCGCCTGGCCCGCCTGCAGCTGCGCCACTTCAACGAGCTGCCGCACGAGCTGCGCTCTCGCCTGGCCCGCGCCTACCGGCCTGCCGCCGCCTTCCTGCGAGCCGCCGCGCCCCCAGCGCCCCTGCTTGCGCTGCTGGCCCGCCAGCTCGTGTTCTTCGCCGGCGCGCTCTTCGCCGCGCTGCTCCTTCTCACCGTCTACGACGAGGATGTGCTCGCCGTCGAGCACGTGCTCACCGCCATGACCGCGCTCGGGGTGACGGCCACCGTGGCCAGGTGCGGCAGACGTTGCGGGGAGCGGGGATGCCTCCGACCTGGGGCTGAGCCCTCCGTGATCCCGACCCCCCTCCCACCCTCACATCCTCCTGACCGCAGGCCCCCTCCCCACCCCGATCCCGCCCTCCAGGTCTTTCATTCCGGATGAGCAGTGCCAGGGTCGCTCCCCGCAGCTCCTCCTGCAGTCGGCCTTGGCTCACATGCATTACCTCCCGGAGGAGCCCGGCGCTGCCGGCAGGGCTAGCGCTTACCAGCAGATGGCGCAGCTCTTGCAATACCGAGCGGTAAGGGTCGAGCCCCGAGCTCCGAGCCCCGAGCGGGGCTGCTCCAGAGAGATGCTGTGCAGCCCGTGTGGTCTGGGAAGGGGCGTGGATAAACGGGCTCCAGGCTGGCTCTCCCAGGCCCCGGGGAATGACTGGGTTGGAGGTTTCTTGCCCTGGCCCGCGTCCCTGGTCGGGGGTGGGGGTGGGGGGTGCGGGGCTCCTGGTTCTGATCACCAGCGTGGGCACCCTCAGCAACCCCTTCTCAGCCTCACCCCTGCTTCCCCAGGTCTCCCTCCTGGAGGAGCTCCTCTCCCCTCTCCTCACCCCGCTGTTTCTGCTCTTCTGGTTTCGCCCTCGAGCCCTGGAGATTATCGACTTTTTTCATCACTTTACTGTGGACGTGGCTGGGGTCGGGGACATCTGTTCCTTTGCCCTGATGGATGTGAAGCGCCACGGCCATCCTCAGGTTAGAGTCATTCTCTGGGTGTGCGGGGTGGTGATTAGATAGGGATTTGCCCCCCCCCAGCGCCATGACTTGCCACCTGTGACCTTGAGGTAGTCACTTCACTTCCCTGTGCCTTAGTGTCCTCATCTGTCAAATGAGGACAATGACCATAGTCAACGAGCAGGGCTGTGTGAGGATTACATGACGTGATGTGTGTACAACCCTAGTGCCAGTAAACGGGAGTCGAGGCCACCAGAGAAGCAGAGAAACCAGCTGGCCAGTGGATGGGGCTGGAGTAAGGCCAGGCTGCCCCACCACGGCCGCAGGCCAGCCCTGGGGTCTGGCGGACACAGGTTGGCGAAGCACTGAGCCCATCCTCTCTTTCAGTGCTGGGTCTGGACCCAGGTCTTGCTCTGCTGCTGTGTTTTGGGGTGATCTTGAGCAAGTCCCTGTTGTGGCCTCCATTCTTTTCACCTGGAAACTGGGGCTGCTGTTTCCTGTCCCCCTACCCCACGAGGCTTGCGCTGCAGCTATAAAAGCAGTGTGTCCACAGCTTTTCCTTTGTTCTCTCAGTGGCTCTCAGCAGGACAGACAGAGGCTTCGCAGTCTCAGCGTGCAGAGGATGGAAAGACTGAGCTCTCGCTGATGAGGTTCTCCCTGGTACACCCACAATGGCGCCCCCCAGGGCACAGCTCCAAGTTCCTGGGGCACCTTCGGGGCCGGGTACAACAAGATGCGGCCACCTGGGGCGCTACGTCGGTCCGCAGCCCCCCCACCCCTGGGGTGCTCAGCGACTCTTCCTCACCTCTGGTGAGCTGCAGCCTGGCCTGTCTTTCTGCCCTCACCACCTGCCACTCCATCTCCCCTCCTCTGCCTTACTTTTGTATTAACCTGCTCACTCACTGGTCCAGCCAGCTCTCCCACTTGCTGAGACCTTTCCCCTCCCTTTCCGTTCTGTCTTCTGACCCCTTCTTCTCTTGCTCCCAGCCGGAGGCTGTCCTGGCCAACCTCTTGGTGCACCCCCTCCTGCCCCCACGGGACCTGAGCCCCACAACCCCCTGCCCAGCTGCAGCCACTGCCAGCCTCCTGGCCTCCATTTCCCGAATTGCCCAGGACCCCAGGTAAGGGATGGGGGCCTGAGATGCAGGGGAGCAGGGGTGGTGAGGCTGGGGTCCTGGGGGAGGGTGCAGGGCGGGGAATTGGGAGGGGAGGTCAAGCCTGGCCCTCTCCATGGAGTGCAGGGGGAGTGTCATATCTTTGATCTGTTGCACCATCTGTTCCAGCTGTGTGTCCCCAGGAGGAACCAGGGGCCAGAAGCTGGCCCAGCTCCCAGAGCTTGCTTCTGCTGAGATGAGTCTCCACGCCATCTACCTGCACCAGGTGAGTAGAGGGTGCCCAAAAGAGAAATGTGGGGAGAGCAGCTACACAAAATGGAGGCTGAGGAAGGTAAGAAAGTACCCAACAGGAGCTAGGGGAAGAGGTCTCAAATCCCTCTGCACCCAGCCCAGGGGGGCTGGGCCTGGCACTGTGGGGCAGGGGGGAGACCTCATTCTTCTTTGTTACATTTAGCTCCATCAGCAGCAGCAGCAGGGACTGTGGGGCGAGGCCTCAGCCTCCTCCTTGCCCAGGCCCTGGGCCAGCCCCCCACAGACACTCTCGCCTGATGAAGAGAAGCCATCCTGGTCAAGTGATGGTGAGGCAATCAGGGTGTGCAGGGACAGACCCTGGGTGGACCGCAGGCATCACGACACTGCCCAGGCTGACAGCTTTTCTCATCAGGTTCCAGTCCTGCCTCCAGCCCCAGACAGCAGTGGAGAACCCAGAGGACCCAGAATCTGTTCGCTGGAGGGTTTCGGGAGACCATAGACACCCAGAAGGAGCCTGTCCAGGCCCCTAGCGCTGACTGAAAGGGCTCCTCAGGTTCAATATTGTCTAACTGGGGCAGGGGCAGGAGGATGAATAGAAAATTGGGTGGAGCTAGAGGGATGGGAACAGTGGTGGGCACTCGGGGTATGGGGCTGATCATCTCTGAAACCTAAACTCCTGGACTGTTTGCCAAGGGCCTTCTCCTCCCTCAGGTTCCCTGGCTTCCCCAGCCACTGGAGATCAGACGAGGTGGAGTGGAACACCACACGGAGCTCTCTTTAGGGACCCCCCCCCCAGATGCTTTAGTTGGGCAGGACTTGGGGGTCAATGATGAACTTGCCCCAGAGAGCACAGAAACAGTAGGAGAGGAGATGCCAAAGTCATCTGGAAACAAGTCTTAGAGACAATCCCCCCATGGAGGGGAGAAGGGGACACACCCCCAACTAGCTGTCCTGGAGTGGTTGTCTGGGAAGAAGTCCCCAAGTGTCCTCGAGGTGCGGGGCAGGGCCAAGGCGGAGGCCAAGCTAAGTGTAGGGGAAACAGTGAGCAATGGGACTGAGAGATGCATTTGGTTCTTCAGGTTCCCACGGGATTTGTGGAGGGGGGGTCATGGGGACTTGTGAGTGGAAAGACTAGCCAGGCTGATGTTTTTAAGAGTTCAGCATTGGTGTGACGTCTGAGGAAGTGGGTGTGGCTCCTCATCCTGTCTAAAACAAGCAGTCAAGGTTGCTCATGGCTGTGTTGCACATCTTGGTCTCTGGCATCCCCGTTCCTGGCAGCTGAGGGCAGCACCTGCTTCTCCATCAGGAGCAAGGGAGCAGCATGGGAGAACTGCCTGTGACTGGCTGGGAAGTATGTTCTTAGAGTGCTGAGTCAGAGTGGAGTAGTAGGATGGGACTCCCTGTCCCAAGAATTACCACCCCCACATCTGCGCGAGTTAAAAGACAGAGCTTCTCATTCTATAATTTTAATCGGCGGGGCTGGGTGAGGCATCTCAGGTAGCTCCCATAGCATCTGGTTCAGTCTCTTATGGTGAATCTTCAATAATAAATATTTCAATGATTTGGAGATTAAGTTTCATGATAAGGTACTCCTGAGAGAGGTAGGGGACATCTAAAATTCACCTAAAGAACACGGAAGGGGTAACAGTAGGCCCTGGAATACCACTGCTGCGAGGGGCCTTCCAGATTTAGTCAGAGCCCGGTAGGGAACCAGGCCTAGAGGAAGGCATTTCGCTCATCCCTGGGGGTTAGGAGAGTCTCCGCAGACTCTGGACAGCCGCGCACGGGAAGGCACCTCGGGAGGGGAGGGAGAGGTGGCTGGTCCTGGGCAGGCCGGCAGGAGAGCGGCCGCGTCTGGCGGGGAGGGGGAGGCTGACGGTTCCTCTCCAGAAGCTGGGTTGGAAAGCGAGAGAGTTCTCAGGGGCCGGGGGTGTCTGGGCTGGGAGCGTACGCCCAGGGCACTGCGCCCCGTAGATGTCGCTCCTGCAAGGAAAAGCTCTGGGTGCGAATGCGGCTTGTCACCTCCTGGGTGCGTAGCGTGAGCCCGAAAATGTCCTCGTGATAGCGTTGCTGATCCTGCGGGGAAAGAGGAGAACGGATCAGAACCCGAGCGGGAGGTCCACGCGGGAGCTTGCACCGCCCCATCAGGCCTCTGTCGGTCTCTGG